GGGAGGGCCTCTTCATCGACGTGGAGCACATCTCCCAGCTGCTGACGGACGTGGCCCGCTTCGCCGACGCCCTGGAGAACCTGCGCGACGTGGTGCTGCGCGACGGTGGGTGTCACCGCGGGGGGACCCGGGTGACACCGCTCTGCGTCCCCTCCACCCTCCCGCCCGGGTGCTGGGGACCCCAGACAGACCCCGAGCACAGCAGGGTCCGAGCCCGGCAGGGAGGGATGGGGGAGCCCCACGTCCTGGCGGGTCCCTTGGGCACCCAACGTCCCCGCGGGTCCCTTGGGAGCCCCGTGTCCCGGCAGGTCCCCGGGGGCCGCGGTGCCGCGCAGGGTGGGAGGGTGGTGGGTGGCTGCCGGGAGCTCAGGGCCAGGATAACGCCGCTTCCTGCCGCGAGCTATTTTCATCCGCCCGCTTTCCTGTTTACAGCGCGGCGGTGCCAGCTGCTGGCAGGGCCCCGGGCACGGCCCCGGCTCCCCGTGGGATGGGGCTGGGGGCCGCGGGAGCACGGCCCGGCTCGGGGCTCCGGCTCGGGGCAGGCGGAGACTGCGGGGGCTCCCCTCCGGCCGGGGCACAGGGACCTCACGTGACGCCCTGTTTTCAGCGCCGGCCTCGCAAACGCGTTGACGCATCCCCCGCCGCGGTGGAAACGCGGTGCCAGCCCTGGGCGGGATGGGTCGGGCTGGCAGGTGACGTCTCAGCGTTCCCTGGAAAACATGGGATCGCCGGCAGGGAGGAAAACCGCTCCAAATTGGAGTGGGACACGTCCAGTGCCACCCCCCTCGGCACCCGCGCTGCTCCGGGCCAAGCAGCTGGGAGAGCAGTGCCAGACAGACTGTGGCTCTGATCCCTGCTCTCCCCATTCCCCACTCCATAAGGGACCAGGAAATGGGATAGGAAGCAGAGGAAACTCCTTCCCGACCCAGGATGGCAGCTGGGGATGTAGCCCGGCCAGGCAGGGCAGTGCCACCTCCCAGGGTGTGAATGTCCCCCTCACACATCCGTGTCCCCGCTCCATTCCCCGCTTCCCTTGCAGATCCCAAGGAGTCGCAGCGGCCGCAGGCCCACGAGTGCCTGGGGGAAACGCTGCGCGTCCTGCGCCAGGTCATCAACAAGTACCCGCTGCTCAACACCCTGGAGATCCTCACGGCCGCCGGGACCCTCATCTCCAAAGTCAAGGGTGAGGCGAGATGGCGGTGCCGGGCGCTCCGGAGGCTCCATCCTGAGCTGGGCTCTGATGCTTCAAACTTACCCCCCAGCCCAGGACTTGCTGCTTTATATTTTAGTGTTAAGGCCCATAATGTGCCAGGAGTGACAGAGCCCTGAGCCCCGTTGGGGCTTTCCCAGTGCAGGAAAGATGCTCACGCAGTGGGGCCAGATCCCAAAGCCCCCGGCAGCACCTTGTGCTTGTACGAGTGGGATTCCTATGCGGGGCCACAATCCAGGGCAGGTGCAATCCAGGGCATGCGCAATCGGGGTCCATGCACAATCCGGGGTCCATGTGCCATCCGGGGTCCATGTGCAATGCGGGGCAGAGCCTCCGGGAGCGGATCCAGCAGCCCTGGGAAGGGGGGCCGACTAACGGCCCGCGAGCGCAGCCCTCTGCGTCACTGCCTCGCTTCCTGGACACCGCGCGCTAACCGCAGCCACAGGAAGGCTCGTGGCGGGTGGAGCCCGGTGCCGCGGCGGGGAGCGTCCTGGGCCAGCCAGGCTGGCAGGGGGCTGATCCGGGCGCAGGGGGGGCTGCTGCGAGCTCCTGTCTGGGGAATGGCCCCGGGCCCCGCTGCCACCGCGGTGACAAGCCCCTTGCCGGAGCCTCCGGCCCGATGCCCGCGCTCTGGCCTGGCCCAAGGGGATGCCCCTGGCTTGCGATCAGCCAAAATAGGAATAAGAGCCGAGTAACGCGAAGAGAGAATCAACCCTGAGGGTCAGGACAAGCAAATGGCAAGGAAATGGGGGCATTTTGACTAGATCAAGATCATAGAAATAACCTCCAAGTCTGGGTTAAATCGCTTTCCTCAGGAGGATGGAGGGCTCTTGGCCACCACCAGCCTGAGATGGGCAGGCACCGGCGGTCCCTTCTCCTGGCTTCAACAGGACAGGCCTCTGTGATGCCGGGGATTTGCATTTCTTCCTTTTCCAGGTTTCCACTATGAATCCAACAATGAAGCGGACAAGAGGGAGTTCGAGAAGGCCGTGGAGACCATCGCAGTGTCCTTCAGCAGCACGTACGGGATTTTTGGCCATCTGTCCCCAAAGAAAGTCCCCCCTTGGTCCCTACCACCCTCTCCCAGTGCGAACACCCCTCCATCCCTTCCCATCGTCTAACCAGTGCCAGCCCCAACATGAGGGTTGCTTTGGGGGCTGCCGGTGACCACACTGAGCGCAGATTTGCAGCATGGGCTCATGCACCGGTCCCAGTCACCAGCTCCTCAGGCCTCCTGCACCAGCAGCTCCTGGCCCATGGTTCCGGACAGACCCCAAAGCCCTCTCGGGCTCACAGATCCCACCTCCTTTCCATGGGGCCACCAGTACCTCTCCTGCTGCAGCTGCAGGGCCCCTGTGGCCAAACCCAGCACTGCAGCTCCCACCACCCTGGTCCTGGTTCAGGTCCTGTCCCAAGGGCCCACGCTGGGAGCCACACGGAGCCCCCCCGTTCTGCCACTCTCGTCCCCTCTTTTACTCACGTGTGTTCTCCTTGTCGCAGCGTGTCCGAGTTCCTCATGGGGGAGGTGGACAGCAGCACCATCCTCTCCATCCCGCCCAGCGACCAGAACCAGGTGGGTGGCCCCAGCCCCATGGCAAGTTCAGCCGCTCGCGCTGGGGCAGGAGCAGAGCCCAGTGCGGACCCCAGCTCACACCCAGGCCCTACAGAACCGCCTCCTGTCCTCGCTGCCACCCGCAAGGACGGGGCAAAGGCACCTGGCAGCTAGAAGCAGAGGGACAGGCAAGGTGGAAAGGGATGGAGCCGCTCTGTCAGCAGAGACTGCGAACTTGATTTCCCTCCTTATTCCTGCCCCTATCTGTGTGCCCAGAGCAAGGCATTTCTGCAGAGGGTCCCCAGTATCTCCTGGGCTTCCTGTAGGACCTTCCCATGCTTAGCAGACTTCAAGCAACAGCCCAAACACTCCAGCAGCTCAGGGATTCAGCTCCCCGCTCCATCTGCCAGGCTGCCCCACCATTACTCTGTGTTATCTTTGTCTGATTTGCTCCTTTTCTTTCCCAATTCCCCAAGTCTATGGAGAGTCTCTACGGAGGGATCCCCGGGCCTGGAGGAGATGGCCTGCCCCCCGGCATGCAAAGCTACGACACAGGTAAGCAGAGAGCCCCTCTGGATGCAGGAATGTGGCCTCAGGCCTGGGGATGCCAGGGGACCTGGGTGACATCTTCCTCACGGCCGCTGTGGCCCTGCAATGGAGGCACCAACCCAGCCCCATTGCCCCGGGGCACCAAATGCCCTTGTTGTGGCTCAGAGCCATGCGGTGCTCCAGACGTCAGCGCCGTGGTGGCTGTTCGGTGCCACCGGGCACTTACCAGGGCGAGAGGGACCATTGCCTTGGCAGGGCCCTTCCTCCAGCAGTGCCCTGTCCCAATGGCAGCACCCACCGATGTGGGCAAGCAGAGCACCCTGCTCGCACAGGGAGCCCCGAGCCAGCTACACGGGGTCCCTAACACAGCACCAAACCTGCCTTGCTGCAATGTCGATAATAGTGATGTAAAAGGCCTCAAAAGAGAGGTGAGAAGGGCTTTGAAAAAGGCCTCAAGAGAGAGGTGAGAAGGGCTTTGAAGCACCCTGGGTGTTGCCACCTCGGCTTGTCTGGGCAAACCATTTCCTGGGCTGAGCGGTTCCGGCAGAGGCAGAGACGCAGGTGAACGAAGGCAGCGCAGGAGCCGCTGCCACCAGCATGGGTGGCCGCAGGACACCAGGTAGCAGTGCAGAGCGCCCAGCAGGGAAGAGCTGGCACCGTCCGCAGGAAACCCGGGGCAGGAGCGAGCGGAGAGGTCAGGGACAGGAAAGCCGCAGGGCAAGGGACCCTTCCGCTCCAGTTTTCCTGAGCGTTTCAGGGATTGTGGCAGCCCTGAGGAGGCGCTGGGAGGGAGCGGGTCGGGGGACAGCAATGGTGACAGCAGCTCAATCCATCTCCTCTTTCTCCGTCCCCACCTTCCTCTGTGTCCCCACGTGCCAGCCCGCCCGCCCGCGGAGGAGGTGGATGTCACACTGCAGCGGTGCGAGGGCGGAGTAGACGCTGCCCTCCAGTATGCCAAAAACATCTCCAAATACATGAAGGACCTCATCGGCTACTTGGAGAAGAGGACCACGCTGGGTGAGATGGGGACGGTGGAGCCTGGGGTCTTCTCCACAGCAGGGCCAAGCTCCTTGTGACAACATCCGAGCAGATCGACAGGCATGGAGCTGTCAGAGACCAAGTTTGGGGGTCTTGATCTGGAAATGGGTTTGAAACAGCTCCTGACTGCCTCCTGCACTGAGCATGGGGTGGGAAGTCGGTGTGTATAGTTTCTACCAGGATTACTCACATGGTGTATATAATCTGGGACAAGTCACCCTATTCCACTTTCTTTCCATCCAAAAATGAGATCTACCTATGTTGTCATGTCTGTAGATGAACTACATCCATTGACATGCAAGGACCTAGGTGGGGGAGGAGAGAGCTGCAAGCCACTGCAAGAATTTAAACATGCAGTCCTTAAGTTCTGGATTTGTTTTCACAAAGGAACCTAATCAGAAAGGAAATTCTTGTGTTTCTCATGTCTTTATCAATCTTCCAATCTTACTCTTCCAGAAATGGAGTTTGCCAAAGGGCTTCAGAAGATGGCAAACAGCTGCAAGCAAACCATCACCCAGGAGGTGAGTCCCCAGCCTGAAGCTCTAGGGTCTGCAGCTGTTCCTGCACCACCAGGAGCCGGGAGCCTTGGAAGGGATTTCTTTTTTTCTTCTTTTTTGCCTGGCAAAAAGAGCCCAAGAAACGGCTCATGTGGTTTTCCAAAGCGCTTTGCTTGGTAAAATTGTGTTCAAACCAAAGGAATCAAAGCAAAGGGCAGTGCTGAGCCTCCCCACAAACCTCCATCAGTAGCTAATACTTCCATTAGCTTTGGGGAATTGTGTCGCCTCACCACTACAGCATCCAGATACCTGGTTCCACCAACTCCGGGAGCAAAACAGGGCTGGTACTTCAAGCGCTGCCCACCTGTAGCCCCAGGCACTACAGATGCAGCGTTTCCCAACACGGGGTTAAGCTGAAGCATTTTCTCCTTCTCAGACCAGCATGCCCTTCCTGTCGATCTACTTGCTAGCCCTGGAGCAGGACATGGAGTACGGGACGTCGGTCCTGCAAGCGGCCAACACTCTGCAGCAGCAAACCTTCCTGCAGGTGGGAGAGCGCCCGGGCGCGGAGCCATCCTGGATGAGGGCTCCATGCAGGGGAAACAGCCCGAGGTCGGTGTCCCTGGGAAGCAGGAAGCGCCGCTTCCCCAGGAAAGCCCTTCTGGAAGCGACTCCTTCCCAAAGGCCGGTTGGCGAGGAGGGCTGGGGGTCTCCCAATGCTCTGGTCCCACAGGCAGCTCCTCTAGGAACCAGCTGCTCTTTCAGGGGGCTGGATAAAGCACCTGGGAGAATCTCCCGAGGTTCAGCA